AATGTCCTGAGACGGGGGCTTTTCCCTGGCCGACTGTCTTACTGCTTACCAGTAAAAGGCTCAGTTCCATAGGCAATGCAAAAAAAGGCTCACGCAGGCTCACGCATAGACCACACCATAAACTAAATTATGAACATTTAGTGTTTTTTATAATAACTGGTTAGCCGTATTTTCCCATATGTACCTGTTTTGTTGGAACATTCTTGTGTGTAGATGTTAATGTGTTAATAAATGAAGTTACTCGTCTGATTGGTTGGGCCACTCCTGACCTCTGTCCCTTACTGCATGTGCATGCTTGTGATGGCAGTGAATATTGCCATAGTAACAGACACAGGCTGCACCACAGCAGTATCTGAGGGGTATCATGCCGGAGAGATACCCAAACATGCTCTCACTCCCACACCTTCACTTTACTCATCTTCACATGGACTGTTTCCCTTCTTATATTCTGTCTGAAGGAAAATGCAGTCATGGTGGGTTTCTTGACCGAACCAGCAGACAGAAGCCCGTAGGTGGGATCAACAAAGATACTACAGGTTCAGAGCATGGCAATCTTCATGTGGATGCTGCCAACATGGCAATAAACGCCACCATGGAGCTTCTGGAAGACATCCGTGGAGCCGTTGGAGATATCAACTTCCTACAGTATGAATGTTTCAGAACCAGAGCAAGGCGGAGCAACTCACTTCTCAGCGACGACACAGGCTAATTCACATACTCTTTAGTGACAGCAGAGGCTAATTCACATACTCTTTAGTGACAGCACAGGCTGATTCACATGCTCTTTAGTGACAGCACAGGCTAAGTCACACACTCTTCAGTGATGACACAGGCTGATTCACCTGCTCTTCAGTGATAACACAGGCTGATTCACACACTCTTTAGTGATGGCACGGGCTGATTCACCTGCTCTTCAGTGACAGCACAGGCTGAGTCACACACTCTTCAGTAATAACACAGGCAGATTCACAAGCTCTTCAGTGACAGCACAGGCTGATTCACCTGCTCTTCAGTGACAGCACAGGCTGAGTCACACACTCTTCAGTAATAACACAGGCAGATTCACACGCTCTTCAGTGACAGCACAGGCTGATTCACACATTCTTTAGTGATGGCACGGGCTGATTCACCTGCTCTTCAGGGACAGCACAGGCTGAGTCACACACTCTTCAATAATAACACAGGCAGATTCACACGCTCTTCGGTGACAGCACAGGTTGATTCACACATTCTTCCATGACAGTACATGCTGACTCAAATGCTCTTCAGTGACGCCACTGGCTGATCTACATGCTCTTCAGTGACGACACTGGCTGATCTACATGCTCTTCAGTGATGATGCAGGCTGATGTACATGCTCTTTCACTTTCCCCCTCAGGCTGATGGGCATCACACACTCCTCAGTGCTGGCTTTCGTGATTGACACCACAGGCAGCATGTTCGATGACATTGAAGAGGCCAAGCGTGTGGCGTTTTCCATCATTGACAGCAAGCAGGCATCAGCCTTCATCCTAGTGCCCTTCAATGACCCTGGTGTGTGGTGCCTTCCTGTCCAGCATATAAACTGCAGTCTGGTTTTACCACTAAGACTCCAAAATATGGACTGCAAACAATTTTTAATTCAAACCATTCTAAATTTAGTTTTTTCATCTTCCGAAAAGCTGTAGTTATAATAATAATAGTGTAGTGTTATTCCAGTTTTTCTGAGTTAAAATTTCAGCTAATGTTTTGTGACAAACAAATTAGCTAAAACATTTTTGGGTAACACTTTATAATACTGTTCCGTAGTTAACAGTAAATATGCAAGAAGTTAGCAGCAACAAAGGAGTAGTGCTTCATTAACACCTAAATTGGTACTATTAACTACTAAGGAGTTATGCTTAACTACTCAATAGGTAATAGTGAACTAATTATTATAGTAGTTCTCTATTACTTCATTAGGAACTATTGAGTATTGCTGGTCTCATTGGGAATTATGTACTAACTATGGATTATTTCTAATAACTACTAGTTCATTACTCATCAAATGAACAGTGCTTATTCTACAAAATATTACTGCCTAAAATATGTATACAGTACCTACATTTTAATTATTACCTCACTTCAGTCCATGTGCCAGTGTTCTTCAAACTGTGCTTTGAAGTCCAACTGAATAAGTTACAGTGTGTTTCACTTTATAATACTGTTCTTGTTCTTTAGTAGCTCCTATGGAAGAAGTCAGTAACACCACATTCATTACTAATGAGTTACA